CTTCCCAATATCTTCTCCCTGCACAGATCTGTCACTTTCCTGAACCTCAGAAACTGGAGTACCACAGCTACAGCACGCTGTTTCACTGCATCCCCAGCCTGCAGAGGTGGAGGCTGCTGGCTTAGAGTTCCCTTCTCCTCAGAGAAGCAGCACAGTTTCCTAATGTTTTTGTAAAAGAGGGTATGTCCTAGAATTTACACAACACACATGCTGTTTTCAAATCACTGAACCACAGAGCAGAGCTACAAACTCTCCCCACACTCTGGCAAGTCCCAACCCCTGAAGAAATAGGGGAATACCATTACTGATGTATGTGTTTAGGTGGGGCAAGAATGGGAAGACTGTGGGTAGGCTAATGACAACAAACACCAACAGAAGAGGTGCCTTGAGCGGTTCTTCATTATTCATAATAAGAGTTGGCACTTTTTACTGTCCTGCCACTGGTTAAATTAAGCCTGAAAAATATTAAATTCAATTACCCATAAAATAATTATTTCAGTATTAAAACAGACATAATTTTTGCAACATAAAGATGAAAACCCACACTTGCATGTTATTTGTAAAAATCAGTGGTCAGACAGTACTTACCTCACTAAGTATCAATATTTACTAAAATGTTCGAAGAAAGATATTTGATCAATCAAATCAGTTCCCAATGGAGTTTCAGCATTTTAATTTTTTAGTAACATATTTTAATGGACTATGAAATTGTTATGTACTTTGGTCTGCAATGTAGTTCCTTTATAATCAGTGCTGATTACCAAGTTATTTGTATCTGGCAGACTTGATTTCATTTTGTAATCATCCTTTCGATTCCCTTCAGAGATTCAACAGTACATTCTGATTTCTGTAGCTAAGACATTATATCTGCTGAGTCCAAAGCAACTGTCTGAGAGGTATCTCTGGCATTTTTAGAACTACCATCTCCTTTCACCTGTGTTTCTGTTTTCAAATCAGGGATGACAACAATTTATCTGCTTCTGTCTGGACTTTTGAATATAATGATGAAAAGCATTTTGGAAGAACTCAGGGCTCTTAGAAACACCCCACATTTCTGATGCTGGTGTAGGTGATAGCTGCAGATTGGGTCTCTGACCCTGCAGCCCCACACAGCTGGAGCCAAAGTGGAATAGGAACATGAGAGTGTGAATAAGCACCTCAAACCTTAACTATTCTACCTAGAGACAAACTGGTAAGGCTTCAATCAACCCCAAAGTCCAGGTGTAGCATGAAAATCAGTGATATCATTCAAGGGAAATGCTTTCCTCTTTTTCATGCCAGGAGCAGAGAGGTAAACAGAAACTTGAGAAAGGTGTCTAAATCATAGTATTCACTACCAACAGCAAAAGTTAAATTGCCCATAGCTTTTCTAGCTGAAAGTATTCCGTGTGGAAGCAGGGCCTATAAAGTCACATCCATTTGCAGTTTGGGGAACTACAGTTAAACACATCATATTCCATTAATATCAGCAGGAACATATTTATTTTTATAGGCCAGTAGAGAGACTAATGGTAGAGTGAGTGCACACAGCATATGTTTTCTACTTGCTCTCCACTGGGAACAGTAGCAGGCAGGCTTGGGTCTGAAAGGAGAGACCTAGATTGTATTTGGTGCAACACAGGCTGCAGAATGGATTGAGGAATTCTGCATAGAGGCAAAATGTTACCTTTCAGAGATGTTACCTTGCCAATGGCAAGTAAATTCCCACTCTGTCCCTGGAGCTTGACTTTGCAGCTTCTAACAAAAATACCTCACCACATGGAAGATGTCCATCCTCACAAAGCATTGCACTTTTGTTATACTTCCAGAGGTACTGAAAATCTGTCAGAAACTGTAAGGCTAGCTTGCAAGTCCTATTTTTGTAAAATCATTAGACCTAAGTGCACTGTGTGGAAAATGCTGCTTCCAGTAGAGTAAACAGAGAGTTTCATCCCCACAGCACACAGAGCACCAGAGAAGAACAGAGAATCAATTACACTGTGTTGTCTTATTATCACGTATCTTGCTGTAGTCTTCTTTGGTTGGCTGCTACGTCTTTGATGTGACAGCTCTAATGGATGTAGTAGACCCTTATTTACTCTGTCAGCCATTCTATGTACGTGGCTAAGCTATGTTAAAAAACCTCGCCTTTTTTTTGGGGGGGGGCGGGGG